TGATTCAAACCTATAAAGGTTTGGGGTATGTTATCTGAATAGCTGAATGTTTGACTTGAAAAGTGGAAAAGTACTGGTATTATGTCCTTATTTGTTCATATATTTGTTACTTATATGAAAAGTTATTTTGTACAAAGTTTTGTTGATTTTCACCCTGCAATAACATAAATAGGGTAACTCACTAGACCTTTCGGTCTAACCCTCGTTTTGTTATTTTAAATATGTATTGCAGGAGGTATGGACGGTAAGGGAAAGGGGAAAATATGATATTTTCCTATATGCATATCTGCATGAAGATTTGACTATGATGTATAGTTTTGATTGATAAACGTTGATTAGTACAAGAAATGTATTTTGAATTTTTGGACCATGTATTTTGTAATGGTAGATTCTTGTATTAAGGGACCTGAGTGATGTACAAACATGTATTTTTCATATGTGAAATATATGTTATCTGCAATGTGTGGTAGGGGGCATTACAGTATTACATCATAGGGAAATGCAACCTCGACCATTTATCTACGCCGACCTCGTCCATAAGTAAAGTACCATTAATATCATAGGTTGTCCATTAACAGATTGAACTTCACCACCGTGTATGCTTTGCATGTCTTCTAAAATAATTTTTCCTTGGCCCTTACTCGTCTATCTCTTGTCTAAGCATTCATCTCTAAATGTTGACAACAAAGACCATGATGAACACTTGGATAGACAGTTGTAGTGGCTTGGTTAATGGAAGCAGCTATATCATATATGAATACCAACCCTTCCACTTCTCAGATGCATTTATTCAACATCGTTAAGAACCAAGTGCATGACTCTTACTCTTAGATCTGCCCACTTCTAATGCAATCAAAACGATTTGATTATTTGCATTCATGCCAACAGCTAAGTACATGGTGCCCAAAAAACGCCCATTCAAATGAGCACCTTCTATTACCATCAACGACCTCAAGTTATTAAAAAAAACGTCTGAATCTGCAAAAAAATTACGTGCTTTACATAAAAGTCAACACTTATATGATTGTAAAGGGGGTTGATATCCCCACCCCCTTACGTCACTTTTTTCACATACTCACTCCCTCACATACTCACCCCCTCACATTCAACCAAATTTTTTAAAATTATAATTTTAAATTTACATTTTATACCCTAAAATTAGTTAATTAATTTACTTTACATCATTTACTTTTAAATTTTTCATTTTACATCTTTATCAAATTAACATACATAATCGTATATCAATTAAAAATACATTTTTATTTTAACAAGTTACACAATTATAATCGTCTCGTTAATACTTTCAAAATGAGTCCAATATTGAATAGTTTTTGAGTTATTATATTATTATATATTATATATATTGTGAAAAAATATTTTTAATATTTATGATTTATACTTTTATAGTTATTTATTTAATTTATGATACATCATTTATTTTTACACCATTATCACATTAAAATACATAATTTTATATTAACTAAAATTAGATCTAACAACTAAATTAGCCTATCAGGAAGCATTTCATACCCTTTATTCTTGTTCTTCTTACATATTTATTTTTTAATATACTTGTTAATTTTAAATTATATTTCATATTCCGTAGTTACTTAATTAATTTATTTTTATAGTTTTGTTTTTTCTATTTTTTGTTTTATACCTTTATCATATTAAGATACATAATTATATATTAACTAAAATACGTTAAAAAATACATTCTAACTTTAACAAGTTACATCATTATAATCGTCTTGTCAATACCTTTAAAATAAGTCTAATATTGAATATTTTTTATTTAATTATATTATTATATCATATATTACTACGAAAAAATATTTTTAACACTTATACTTTACACTCTTGTAGTTAATTTTGTAATTTATGGTATGTCCTTTTGTTTTTTATTTTTCATTTTACACCCTTATCACATTAACATAATTGTATATTAATTTAAAAAATATGTTTTTATTTTAACAAGTTATACCATTATAAATTGTCTTCTCAATACCTTCGAAATTTATTAATATTGAATATTTTTTGATTTAAATTATATTATTATATGATATATATTACAAAAGAATATTTTTATCACTTACACTTTATACCATTATATTTATTTAATTTTTGAGTACATCCCTTACTTTTTCGTTTTTCGTTTTGCACTTTTATCACATTAACATACAATTGTATATTAAACTAAAATACGCTAAAAATATATTTTCATTTTAACAAACTACACTATTATAATCGTTTCGTCAATATCTTCAAAATAGTCTAATATTTTTTTTTGTATTTAATTATATGACCATAAAAATATAAATATAACAAGGATATAAAATAAAAATAAAAAAGTAAAAAAGTAAAAAAAATCTATATCGTTGTATTGTGCGAGTATTCTTTTATTATTTAT